GCTTTGCGAGATCAAAACCTGATACGTAACCGCCTGACCTCTTGAGCTTTTCGAAAGAACCCTGTTCAGAAATTTTCCCATCTTGATCGAGAGAGACGATATGATCACAATAAGGAACTCGCTTGGCTGCAGAGTCAAAGTCAGTAAAAGCTAACCGGTTAATAGAGAACTTGACACATACCAGATGATGAAGAAATGAGAACAGTCGTTCTGCAACGCCTCAGTAATCCTCGCTTACCAAATAGGCTGTGCCAGATTCGGTTTTCTGTCTGGCCGTCGAGGCCACTGAGACAATCATCAAGGATTATTATGTCTTTCTGTGCGTAAACTGCTCTTGCAAGTGCCTACGGAGTGTGTACGTTAGTATTGGCTAAGATGTAGAAGCGGGGAGGATAAGTGGGATGGTCTCACAAGGCGTTGGCTTTGGCCCCCACTCAACGCAATACCGTTGCTGCCGATCTCTGTTTGATCACCTTGGGGCAGCTGGGCGAGATCATCGTCCAAGGCGCAGGCCCGAACAACAGACGAATACCAACGTTGATCGAAATTTGATACGCCAATGATACTTTCCTGGACAGTTCCGTTTGTGTGCCATGGGCTTTGGTCGCAAAAGGCGATGCGCAGGGATGACATTTGCAGGGAACCACCCATGACAGGCAATTCTCCTAGCACTGCTTTGAGCAGAGTTGATTTGCCGCAACCTACCGGCCCCACGACTATGGTTATTTTGCCTCGTGGAACAATCATATCGATTTGCTGCAGGGTTCCTTCCGGTTGCTTTTCTGGATCCCACCCAAAGTAACCGTCTTCAATCACGATTGCTTGGAACGTGTTGGACTCTTTAACCTCGACAGAAGAGCGACTCTTTTGGGAAGCGACGGATCCCTTCTCAAACACACTGCCTGCCTCCGAAAGCCATGTAGCACTAGATGTGTGGGGAGGCGCATATGCACGGCGATCAGTGCGTGGGACCTGTGAGATAAACTCCTGAATTCGTTGGAAAGATCCGACGCCACCCATGAGTGACGAAAGAGCCATGATGAGCGAACCGAGAGGTTCCGTAAGCAGAGTAAACAGAGACAGAGATGTGAAGACAGTTGCAGTATCAAGCGTACTCTTTCCCCCACTGTTCTGCGCGATCACTGAAAAGACTGCGAACGCTAGAATTGGAGATGCGATGGGGGAGATGTATGCTGTTCGTGGTTAATATATTGTACAAATATCGGAACGCGTGATAGCTTACTGAAACCCATGGTCCAAATAAGTAGTTTCCGAAATCTCTTGGAGATATTGAGCTCCTCAATTCGCAACTTGTGCAAATCTTCCCGCAGAACTTCGGTGAGACCGCCCATCTTTACTCCCTTCATGGAGCTGAGCATTGCACTTGTTGCAGCGATGCGCCGCTCGATGCCTTCAAGCCAGAGTGCTTGTCGTTGCATGACCATGCTAGTTGCTGCAATAGATCCGAGCAGTGACAAGACCGCGATGCCAATAGGTATAGCACATGCTGCACCCAACTGTCGCTCCAGCAAGTACATGGCCAGTCCAATTTCCAATGTGTTTGACCAGATCTACAAGGAAATTGTGAGTTAGTTTACTCGCTGGGTTCTAGGTGATGCATCATGTTTGCTTACCTCATGTCCAGTTTCCATTCCAGTGACAATTCGTTCCACATCAGCGCTCATTAGGGTGATTGAAGATGCCGTATCAACATTGTTCAATGCAACCTCTGTGGCTTTGCTGTACAGCATTGAGACGAGACCACCACGCATCTGTGTGATGAAGCGAAATGTCAAATGCATATATTGCCCTGTAGAGACCTGTAGGCAATGTCAGCCATCAGCAACCCGATTTTCTATCTGAGAAAAGCACATACGGCAATGCCGACGAAAACAATGATATAAGCGCCAATCAGGCCATATCCAATGTTTCTTTGTTGAACGTTTGAGGTTTCCTGTGAGAACTTGACTGCTCTGTTGATGAGGAATGGCTGACAGAAGTTGAAACCAATCAAACAGAGCCGAGGCGGGACGACTGCCAAGATAGACCACTTCAATTTTCCCACAGTTGTGGTAAACAGAGAATTTGCGCTGGGCTTTTCCACTTGAAGAGAGACGAAAATTTCAGTAAACTGCTCAGCGAGAGGAGGTTTGGATATGCACTTACGTCGCGCCCATGCTGAACCCAGCATATTGTGCATGTAGTCTGCACGCAGATATTTATCTAAGTGGAATAGATCATCCACAGTCAAAGCATTGGAGTAACCCTTCTTGAATAGCTCGTTGAGCCACCAAAAGGAAGCACGTTTGTATATACCACTTGTAGCCTCGGGAGGACAGTTAGCATACTCTGGAAGGAGGTGTTTTCGTTTATCTTTACACTCCACTACGGCCAGAAATAGCTTTACTGCAAGCCGTGTAGCGAACACAGTAGCTACAAGGCTTAACTCAGGCATTAGTGCATAGCTGCGAGAACGCTCAATATCGAACAAGAATGTGAAGAATAGGTATAGGTTGAGCAGGAGTGATGGCCTGATCGAGCGCATGTGTTCCACGTATGAGAAGAAGCCTAACAACAATGCTCCGACGAAGCTGACAGCGGCGGAGGATAGCCCCATATGTTTCACATGAGCGTTGCGGCTTGCCCATACTACTAGAAGGGCCAGCTCGAAGCCAGCGAAGAGGGCCCATCCTACCTGTTGTGTAAAAGTTAGCCATAGTCATTACGCCATAGAGTATATCTTACCAGCTTGGTATGCAATAGTGTTGACTTTTTGACTTTTGTCTGCCTTCTCCACAGGTAGAAAGACCTGAAGGGAACGACAGCTAATAGTATAGACAGAGGTACAATCGAAAGAAAAACCTCGGAGAAAAGGAGAGTGAAATCGAACCCCCCTCGACAGTAAGGCCCGGCATAGGGACCAAAGGTGTTATCCACCAAGGTGCAGTTCACATTCGGAGTCGATGTCTTGGAGAGCATGACTGTGACTGGTGGGAGCTACTCAAGAATTAGGGAGAAACATTAAGGAAAGTAAGAAAGTATGGGATGTGGGCATTGATAATCCGGCTTCTCCTTATGCATCAAAGGAGTTTCCGCCGATACGAAGGCTGAGTGGGCCGGTGGCAGAATGCTGCTTTCCTTATTTACCTGCCTCATCGGCGTCCATGTGTCTGCACACCAGTACGAAAGGCTTGGACTCGGCGGTAGTGTGTGCATGTGGACCTACAGGCCCAATGCTCTGCAATGCCACAACATCGATGTTCCACTGGCGCACAGACACCACTGTTCGCCATTATGAGACTGTCGGTAAATTTTACGTAGCTCTAGTACACTGAGCTTTTCTCTAAATTCCCGTGTAGATGGTATAAGATCGGCACACCTCACGGTGATCGACTTCGTAAAGCACAAACGCGGATATCATGCAAGCCGACGCAGATATCACACGTAGTCGCTATGCTCTGCTTGGTAGTCGTAGGCGTCGAAGCATGTCCCGAAACCTGGTCCAGGGCCAGTGCATGCTTGCTCAATACGTTGGTAAGACATACAAGATGACAAGGGACGTGCATAGTCATTTGGTTTAGCCGCATTTCCCATCCGAATATGTAGCAAGGATCGACGCCCCCCCCCCCCCCCATCGCCCCGTGTTCCAGCATTAGTTGATGGCGATCCGGGAAGGGGATCCTCAACCCTAATTGCACAACCACGCTGTCGCCTTGGCACGGCTCAGATGGGAGCTTATGATTCATGGGTGCCGGGCTATTGCCGTCAGAATGACGATCGCGCTTAATTTGCCCTGACATCTGGAAAAGACGGCAGGCTTACCTATTCCCGTTGGCGTGTACATCTATCGCCATCGTTCATGAAAGACTAGAGCCAAGCGATCTATCCGTGGCTCCCACCTGCCACCAGGGCCAATTTGGGGAATATCGCCATACTGCAGAAGAAAACATGAATCAAAACAGTGTTTGCAACGTTTTCTGGACCTCGATGCTGGTAGGTATGCACGAGGAACGCGGTCTTGTCACATCAGACTACAACCGGCTGACGAAAATAGGCCTCCAATTTTGAGTTGAGTTTTTGACGGAAGAAAGGACCCGCCTCGCTTCACCTGGTCTCTGCATGCTATTCCTGCCATGCAGTGATGAATTTCTGAGTAATGTTGTGGCCTAGACTTTACAGGTTTGGCCACGTGTGCTGTGACAGAGATTGCAAATTTCTCTTGGGTTCGTTGGATAGTCCATCGGGATCTGCAATCCCATGCATCCAAGAAGGGCTGAGCTTGTGGATCGACGGTCCCATGAGACGACAACAAAGGTTAGCGTACGTTTGATACCGGAATTAAGACGACTCCATTTAGAAAACAGGCTAATTCTGCCACAGCCGCTGGCTGTTGTCAGATTCTTATGTGTATGTTTGGAGGGGGAACCTGAAACCTCACTACCGTCTGTATGCCAGTTCAAACAGTGGCTGGGTAAAAGCAATGATTTTGTTCAAGTTTTCCTTCTAGAAGTTCATGTTGTTTGACAATGGAAGAGATGTTTCGTGTGGCCTGACAGATCGGACACTCAGCACACAACAATATTGGGGGGATGAGGCGGGTGATACGCGCTCGCATCAGTCCCTAGCAGAATGGCCATGGCTGTGAAAGGGGCAGGTGGACCGGTGGGCACTGAGACCCGCAAAATGATGCTCAACGAGTCTCATGCGAGATTCGTAGTCTGAGGTGACACAGTCGTAAAGATCCTTCACCGGTTTGCAATGTGACTTCATGTGTAACGGTGATTGCTGCAGTGACGGTCTTGCTTGTCTTGAATTGCCCGGTGCAGGCCTTGATGGCGACTCCGGAGAGATGCTTTACGATGACCCGAGCAATCCGGTGCTGTTTTCATACTAGGTGGAATGAATGTGGCTTGCGCAGAAAGTAGGGGAGTTAATATCAAGAGACTGGGCCTTGTGTGGGCGAATGCTCGGGTTCTTGGAAAGGCCGAGTGACCCAAATCATGTCCAGATTCGGCGACCGGGATTTTCCAAACTTGACCGCACTTGAGTCAAGACGCTTGGCTACCAGCGCGAAGGATGGGAATCATGGACAGGGCGAGGCGATGGAATCTGTCATGGAACCAGAGGACAAACGTGTGATACGTCAGCGTTCTCAGGCATGGCAAGGCATGCATGGTTTGCACCGCATAGGGATTTCCTGGGCGCTGGTGCGCCCTATGCTGACCGTGGCAGGCAGACGAGCGGTTGGGCAATGGACGGGGTAGAGAGCGTAGACAGGCGACCGGATCTCTGGGATGCAGCGGCTGAAGCCGGCAGATGGCCAGTGATCAGCGAGGACAGGGGAATGATGCCCCAGATGGTGTCTCGGGCCAGTGAGAAGCAGGCTGAGGGTGCGTTAGCCGTTGTGTGGACACCACTACGGCGATAGTAGCGGCACACCCCGCCGGACGGGCAAGCCGGTCCCTGTGCAAGCGACTAGACGGCGCCTGTCGCAGACGTTGGTAGAGGCGCCATCTGCAGCCATGAGTGCAAATGAACGAGGTGGCGTGCGAAGACGCAACGGAGAGGGCGTCTCCGACAGCGGAACCGGCGGCGGCGGGATGGATGGACGGATGGATAGATGGATGGTAAGCGGGGTATGTTAGTAGGTGTACGAGAGCGAGTACAGCTAAGGCGACATGGTTGAGTGACGGTAAATGCTAGCCCCCAGATGGACTCAAGATGGCCCCCAAAGGAAGCCTCGTGTCGGCGTCCTACTGACTTGGTATGCAGTGTCAAGGTCCACAGTGCAGTGGCCAGAAGCAATACAATGCCGCTCCAGGCCCAACCAGACACTGGGCAGCGGGGATGTCGATCGGTCCAGCATCCTGGCAAAGCCTATTGTGGGAACTGACTTACATAAGCAGGCCGTGGCGTTGTTTCGTGCAGCTGAGCGCTAGTCCCAAGCCGGCTAGACACACACACACGCAAACCTCACCTTTTCCCATCCGTGTTTTTCTTCCCCACAGCGAACACGAGCTGTAGCGTCCACCACGTCGCAATACATCAACGCCACAATATGGATGAACTCGCTCCTTGCAGGATTCCCGCCATGTCGCCGCTGCCGGCGTAGTGCCGACGTCACCCCTTTGCACCTGCCTACTCAACTGCCAACCCCTCTCGCCCGTCGACTTGACAGCAAACGTTTTGCTTTTCCATGTTGGGAGATTTGCTCCCGGGCCGCTCTACACTCGGTGCACCTTGTTTCCCCAGAAGAAACGCACCTCCCTACCAGTCTGTCCAACCATGGCTACTTGGCTGCAAGTCACGTTGCCGATCGCTTCATCCCTACATGGCCATGGCCACTCAACGGACCTTGCATCTAGCGCCTCTCCCTTCTCGACGACCATGCGTGTCTTTCTGTCTGCAAGCACCGGCTGTTCGCCTTCGCATTGTGTGCTACCTAAGTGTGTGTGTGGCTTGCAATAGACCAAGATACCCAGCAGTCACTTCACCCCAGCCCTGCAGACTGGGATGGGACGGTTCAGGAGTCGCAAGCCCCGCGGCCGTCGCACCACTCGTTTGACTCAGTCCAGAGGCAATAGCAATTCCTAAAAGAACTGGCCGAACGGGGCGTTCTGCCTGAGGCTGCTGCATATTTTCCGTCATTGACCTTTCGACGTGAATGCCTTGAATTTCCATTGATTGCTTCCAAGTCTGCCTTGCTCTCCATTTCTCGCCATACTTGCCCTTTACATACCCCTCCTCGGACCCCTCCCTCCATCTCTCATAGTAAGAAATTCTAATCTCAGTGTTTTGCTAACCTGCAGTGTTGTCGAATACAGTACCACAGGCCTTGGTAGGTTCATCCTTGATCACCTTCACCCGTGTTGCTGCATCCAACCAAGCACGAAGCACACAAGGAATTACCTTGTGAGCTTCTTGCATGCTATCAATTGCTTCCATGTCCTCTCGGATTTCTATTCATTGTGCTCATTGTCTTTCAGGTATTCCATAATCACAACCAGCAATGGCGTCTCATGCGAACAATCAGATGGAGCAATGTCTCCAATCAATTTGGGCTCACGTCCTCAACTTACCTAATGTCCCCCTTGATCAGTCCTTTCTATCCTTGGGCGGTGACTCTATTTCCGCAATGCAGGTCGTTGGTCAGTGCCGCAAGGACGGTTTGAGTCTTGGCGTCCAAGATGTCCTACGAAGTCGATCCATCACCCAGCTGGCAACTGCGGTCAAAGAGGTGGAAAACTCGCCATATGATCACGAGGAGTACTTTGACGAAGACTTCGATCTTTCACCGATCCAGTCTCTCTACTTCCAACGGCCGAACACAGACGGCCACTTCAATCAATCATTCTACCTTCGAGTCGCACGAATAACCAGTGCAAGCGAATTTCATGCCGCAGTGAGACAGCTTGTCACTCGTCACTCGATGCTACGCGCACGTTTCTCCCATTCAGCCGAACACGGATGGCAACAGCGTCTTACAAGTATGTCAACCCACGTGACCTCACTTTGTTCCGTCTCTTTGCTCAGGCTCCAGCCTTTATACATGCCATGTACTTGACTTTACTATGCACGCAGCTAATCACCGCTCTAGACGATATTGATGGGTCTTATCGCTTCCGCCATTCCACTGTTACCTCCCAAGCGACGATAGACGCTTCCATTGAGGATACGCAGCAATGCCTTGATCATGCCGCTGGGCCACTATTCGCCGCTGAGTTCTTTGATTACGGAACTCAGCAATTTGCGTTTCTCACTGGCCACCATCTCGTCGTTGATCTAGTCACGTGGCGACTTTTGTTGGAAGAGCTCGAAGAAATCTTGAAAGGCGGGCAGCTTTTGGCGCCAGCACTTCCATTCCAGAAATGGGCTGAACTGCAACAGGACCATGCAGAGTCTTTGAAACTCAGTGAGATTCTTCCCGAAGTTGATGTCCCACACATGGATTTTTCATATTGGGGCATTCAGCACCAGGATAACACTTATGGCAATGCAAGCCATGCTAGCTTTGAGCTTGACAACGAGCTCAGCTCAGCATTCCTCACAACTTGTCACAATGCCTACAAGACGGAGCCGGTTGAAGTCTTGCTTGCGTCTTTGATTCAATCTTGGTCTCTAGTTTTCACTGATCGACCAATTCCCGCGATATTCAATGAAGGCCATGGCCGCGAGCCATGGGACTCTAGTATCGATATCACTCGTACGGTGGGATGGTTTACCGCTTTGTCACCCATCCTCGTGACTCCATCCGAGAAGTTTACGGATACAGTTCGCAAGGTGAAGGATTTCAAACGACGTATCCCTGGCAACGGTCGGCCATACTTTGCTCGACGATGCCTCACCGAGGACGGTCGTGAAAGCTTCAAGTCACATTGGCCAATGGAGATCTTGTTTAATTATCTTGGTCAATATCAGGTATGCTCAGAGTCTCATTCATTATCGACATTCCACTAATATGACTGTCAGCAACTTGAAAGGGCGGACGCTCTTCTTCAGCCAGTGGGTACCATGGCTGGTGAGACTGGTAAGGCCGGCGGTACTTCTGACTTTGGCCATAAAACTTGCAGATGGGGGCTTTTCGAAATCTCCGCCTTTGTCTTCAAAGGTCGTCTCAAGGTTGCATTTACTTTCAACCGCTCTATGCTTCATCAGTCACATATCTTAAGATGGGTCTCAGAGTGCGAGGCGACCATTTCAAATATGATCCGCGGACTCAATGTGTTGGAGCCAAAGCCAACTCTCAGCGACTTTCCGCTTCTGTCTCTCACCGAAGAGAGCTTCAGTTCCATTCTGGACAGAGTCTCAGCCATGGGAATTCCTGATACCGATGTGGAAGACATATATCCCTGCTCCAGCATGCAGGAAGGGCTATTACTATCACAGACTAAAGATGCTGGGTACTATGCTGCTGCTACACTTCATGAAGTTTTAGCGCCAGAGTCCCAAATATCTTGGGGGACTGTTGCCGAGGCTTGGCAACAGGTTGTCAAGCGCCATCCAGCATTGCGAACTGTTTTCGCCGAGAATGTGGGTGTGAAAGGTCTCTACAACCAAATTGTCCTCAAGAACATTGAGGCCAACATTGTCCACCTTGAGGCTGCGGATGAAGATGATGCTATCAGAATCATTGAGCAGCAGCGATTCATTTCTTACAATCGCGGCCAATGTCCGAACCATCGCCTAACAATATGTGATACAGCCGACGGAAAGATCTTTTGCTCTCTAGATATCAGCCATGCGATCATGGATGGGCATTCTATGAGCTTACTTATCAGTGAGCTGAGGATAGCATGCGAGGGAAAACTCACACTTGACTGTACACCGCTCAGCGCATACATTGCATGGCTTACCCGGCAGCCAGAGGAAGCCAGTCTAGACTTCTGGAAATCCTACCTACATGGTAGCGAGATCTCTTCATTTCCTGTTCTCGACGACGGACAAGGCCAGCTTCTGGAAAAGAAGCTGGTCACGATTCGCATGGATCTATCTAGCATCAGCTTGCCCGACTTCCAATCCTTCTGCAACGCTAACGGTATCACACTGTCAAATGTCTTTCATGCTGCATGGGCTCTCACGCTCAGTTGCTATATTGGTAGCGATGATGTCACGTTCGGATACCTGACATCTGCAAGGGATTCGGAAGAAATTGAAGACGTGGAGAGCATCGTCGGTCCATTAATCAATACACTCGTCTGTAGGGTAAACTTTTCTGATGGATCCCGGTGTCTTCTCGATGTGTTACAGGACGTTCAAAGAGACTACATGGAAGCTCTCCCACATCGCCACACAGCACTTGCTGATGTTCAACATGCTCTTCAATTGTCAGGCGCGAACTTGTTCAATACCGCGCTGTCGTACCGTCGCTTGCCTCAGGATCAGGCTGTCGATCTTTCCGGAGTCCGCTTACAGGAAGTTCGCCCAATCTATGACCCGACTGAGTAAGTTACAGATTTGACATCAAAGTCTTGAAGAAACACCTCCGCCATCATTTTACTAACAGGATGCTTAGGTATCCGGTCAGCATCAATATTGAAGTTGGTGATGACAGCACAGCAGTCGATCTCGATTATTGGACTGATCATCTCACTGCGGGTCAAGCTACAAACGTCGCTAACACTTTTGTTCGAGCCTTGGAGAATATTGTTTTCCATGCGAAACGGCGCATTTCAACTCTGGAACATATCAGCCCAAAGCATCTCCGGCAAATCCATGACTGGAACATCATGCCAGCAACCATCAATGAATGTGTACATGATAGATTTTCTCAATGGGCTACCCGCCAGCCCGATGCTCAGGCAATATGTGCACATGATGGAGAGTATACGTACGCTGAGTTGGATGTCGTTACCGATCGATTAGCACATCATCTCGTCCAGCTAGGCGTCGGACCGGAGACATTCGTTCCAACATGTTTTGATAAAAGCATGTTTGCTATCATCGCTATGTTATCCGTCATCAAGGCAGGTGGCGCTGCCGTTCCTCTTGACGCCACGCATCCTGCGAACGCTCTACAGACACGCCTTGAGGACGCTAACTCGAAGATTGTTTTAACGACAACTGTCCGCGCCGAAAAGTTCGATGGTCTCGTAGACAAGGTGATCGTTGTAGATGAATCACTATTACAAAGTCTCCCAGCAGTTCGCGGCCCGATCTGCACAGGCGTACAGCCGCATCATCCAGTCTTCGTCATCTTCACCAGTGGTAGCACCGGAAGACCCAAGGGAGTGGTGCTGGAGCATTCCGCTATCGTCACCAGTGCGGAAGCACACGGAACAAAGATTGGTCTGGACCATAACTCGCGCATGCTGCAATTCGCATCTTACACATTCGACAACTCACTCGAAGAGATGTTCACTACCCTCCAGAGGGGAGGTTGCGTGTGTGTTCCTTCTGAGGCTGAGCGGGTTAATGATCTTGCCGGAGTTGTAACCAGGCTCAATGTCAACATAATGGACCTCACACCGACAGTGGCTTCTTTGCTTTCTCCAGAAGAGGTTCCAACGTTGAAGCGAATGTGTCTTGGTGCGGAGCCGCTGACCAAGGCGTTAATCGAGCTTTGGAGTCAACACGTATCGGTTATCGGCCAGTATGGGCCTAGCGAAGCGTCAATCAACTCGGCATTCAAGGACTTCAGTGATGGTCGTGGTGAAGCAACCAATATCGGCAAAGCTATCGGCTGCGTCGCGTGGGTTGTCGATCCTGAAAACCGCAATCGCTTGATGCCGATAGGATGCAAAGGAGAGCTTCTTCTCGAAGGGCCTATTCTGAGCCGTGGCTATCTGAATGACGCGGAAAAGACGCAGGCTGCTTTCATCACTGATCCCGAGTGGGCCAGCGTTACAGGACCCATTGGGCGCCGCTTCTATTGCACCGGAGACCTTGTACAGTATACTTCAGACGGTGAAATGATGTATCTGGGTAGGAAAGACTCGCAAGTCAAACTTCACGGACAGCGCATTGAGTTGGGTGAAATTGAGCACCACCTCAAGCTCAACCTAACGACCGGCGCCAAATCGGCCGTCGAACTGGTCAAGTTCAACGACAGCAATTCCACTAAAGCTCTAGTAGCATTCTTTTGTCTGTCTGAAGATGAAGAAATTGTGGCTATTAGCGAAATGACCGAGTCGTTGCGAGCAGTGGCGAAGCAGGCAGAAATGGCTCTTGCTAATGCTCTGCCTGTTTATTATGTTCCTTCGGTTTTCATGCCAGTCACGCGCATGCCAATGACTACCTCAGGCAAGCTGGACCGAAAAGTATTACGAACATTGGCAGCAGCAGTTTCAGACTCGCAGCTCGCATCCTACCGGCTAGCAGGAAAGAGTGGCCGCGCACCCGAGGGGCATACCGAAATCACTTTGGCACGTGTCTGGGCTTCTGTGCTGAAACTCAGTGGTGGGGCAAGCGGAATTGGCGCAGAAGATTCTTTCTTCCGACTCGGCGGTGATTCCATCAGTGCCATGAGACTGGTGACTGCGGCTAGGAAAGATGGCATCCTTTTGAATGTGGCAAATGTCTTCTCACATCCAAAGTTGGTCGATCTCGCAGCCACTGCTGTCGTTTCTTCTGAAGAGATGTCGCTCGTCACGGATGCGGATCCCTTTGATATGCTCCCAGCAGCCAACCGTCAAGCTGTTCTGGGGCTTGCAGCCTCAGAATGTGGTGTTTCTCTAGACTCGATTGAGGATATCTACCCATGCAGCAAGCTCCAGGAGGGCCTCATCATGCTGACCAACAAAGACCCTGGCACTTATGTAGTGCAGCCTGTCTACAGATTGCCTTTGGGTATCGACCTCCCACGCTTTAAAGCTGCTTGGAAAACAGTAGTCGCTGCCGAATCCGTCCTTCGGACACGTATCGTCTATTCTGAGAAGTATGGGTTTCTTCAGGTTGTTCTCCGGGAGGAGCTTCCCTGGCACTCCATTTCTCGAGCACAGGACATCAATGAAAGTACCAGAAGGCTTCCCGCGAAAAACGGGGCACCACTTACCACTCTTACTCTTGTAGGAGAGAACACCGCCCAACCTATGTTCGTCTGGACGGTTCACCACGCCATTTACGACGGTTGGAGCTGGACAAACCTGTTTCGCAAAGTGGAAATGCACTACCATAATGATGTGCAAGACATACCTGCCACGGTTCCTTACTCACGCTTCGTGAAGTATCTTTGCTCCTTGGACCAGAAGGAGTCGGATGTGTTCTGGATGTCGCATCTTGACAATGTGACGACCACTCAATTTCCTCAGCTGCCTTCTCCGGATTATCACGTTGAGACTAATGGCCAGTTGGTCCATCGTGTTCAGTTGAAGCGAAATGCGGAACTGGAAGTCACGGTACCCTCAATAATCCGGGCCGCTTGGGGCCTTCTTCTTGCCACATATTCAGGTTCTGATGACGTGGTGTGGATGGAGACGAACAGCGGTCGCGAAGCCATCGTTCCTAGTATTGAGGCTATCATTGGCCCCACCATCACAACTGCCCCTGCTAGATTACAGCTTGACCGCAATCTGACAGTTCACGAATATCTGAAACAAACTCAGAAACAGTCATCCTTGTCTCTACCTTACCAGTTCGCCGGTCTACAACATATCCGCAAACTCAACTCAGAGACAGCGGCAGCCTGCGAGGCCCAGAGCTTTTTAGGTATCGAAGCAGCCGATGAGATTGATACGCACGGTTCACTCTGGCAGATGGAGAGTAGTAACACCGTTGGCACAGATTTTCTGAACTACGCCTTTGCGTTCAATTGCAAAGTGGACTCATCTGGTGTCCGTGTGGAAGCATTGTTTGATGATCGCGTTGTTGAAAGGTGGCTTGTCGAGCGCATCACTCAGCAATTTGAGTTCCTGCTCTGTCAACTGAATGCCAACATCAATATGGACAAGAAGTTGGACGAGATTGAGGTGCTCAATCTCGCTGACCGAGACATGATTAGTGCATGGAACAGCCATCCTGTGCCAAACATCCCCAGATGCATTCATAACGTCATCCAGGAAGACCAGTCCGCACGAAGGCCCACGGCGCCTGCTATCGACGCTTGGGACACTGGCGTCATGAGTTACCAGGAGCTTGATGAACGCGCTACAGCACTTGCATACCGACTGACAGCCTTGGGCGTAAAGTCTAGACAATTCGTGCCGCTTTGTTTTGACAAGTCCGGCTGGACGATCGTTGCTATACTTGCTGTTCTCAAGGCAGGTGCTGCTTTTGTCCCTCTGGACTTCGAAGCTCCTGTCCTCCGGCTTCGTGAGATAGTGGGGGATGTAGGTGCAGAACTACTTCTTTGCGCGCCGCAGTACGAAGAGCTCTGTGAATCGATTCCCTGCAGAGCCCAAGTGGTGGATCGAGAGTCAACCATCTACAACAAGCCACATCTCCCATGTCTTCCGTTGGTTGATCACAATGATCCAGCATACGCATTCTACACTTCTGGATCAACTGGGAAGCCAAAAGGGGCTGTAGTTAATCATGTGCATTGGGTCACTAGCTCCACTGCCTTCGCTCCAGGTTGGAAGATTTCCGAGACTTCCAGGATTCTCCAATTCGCTTCCTACACTTTCGATGCTTGCTTAATTGAAATTTTCACTACTCTCATGAATGGCGGTACTGTATGCGTTCCAGATCAGGCCGCTCGGACGAATGATCTTGTGGGAGCTATCAACCAGTTCAATGTGAATTGGGCTGCCCTAACGCCTTCAGTCGTCCGTACAATGACTCCGTCACAAGTTCCGCATCTTAAAACATTATTCTTGGTTGGGGAGGCCATGTCTCAGCAGGATCTCACGACATGGGCGGACAAGGTCACACTCGGCAATGGCTATGGTCCAACTGAATGCGCTTGTGTAGCTACCTGTAATATTATGACGCCCCGCACACGACCAAACAATCTGGGCGATGTTGTTACAGCCAGAGGATGGATTGTTTTGCGCAACAATCACCACATACTTGCACCTGTCGGGGCTGTCGGCGAGTTGCTGCTAGAGGGTGGTGCAGTTGGTGCAGGATACCTCAACAACCCGGAGAAGACAGCAGAGGCATTCCTCACAGCGGTACGCTGGTCAATAGATTTGCTTGGCGCAAACGACAACACACCCCTACGCATCTACAAGACTGGAGACTTGGTGAAGTACAATGAAGACGGTACAATGCTATACCTTGGTCGCAAGGACTTCCAGGCTAAGGTTCGGGGCCAACGATTGGAATTGTCTGAAGTCGAACATAAGCTCCTCGATGACCATATGGTACAGAGCGCTCTCGCCTCTGTTCCTACCAAGGGCCCCTGTGCGAAACGGCTAGTCGCAATACTTTCACTGCAGGACATGCCGGCCGCCGCATTGGGCACTGCAAGCCCACTGCAGATCATATCTCAGGAGATTGCTTCACCGAAAGTTGCCAGCATCAGGGACAACCTTTGTGAACGCCTACCAACGTATATGATCCCGTCTTTGTGGGTTGCTATCAATCGCTTCCCTTTGATGCCCTCTGGAAAGCTAGATCGAAGACGCGCGGTCCAATGGTTGGAGCAAATGGACCAAGCTACTTATCGAATGATTTCGACAATGGGTGCAGATTCTCCTGATACGAATGGTGGATCTTCTATCGAACACAAGCTACAAGAGATATTCGCCAAAGCATTGAACCTACCTGCTAGTGATATTCGGCTCAATCAGTCCTTCTTACATCTCGGCGGCGATTCGATTGCGGCTATGCAAGTCTCATCACAGTGTCGCGCGCAAGGTCTTCCAATCAGCGTAAAAGACATTATTCGTGCAAAGTCAATCACAGCCTTGGCTTCTACAGTCGACCTCTCTCTGAACTCTGAACCTGCCCCTGAAGCCATGGAATACTCTTTACCTTTTGGTCTTTCGCCAATCCAAAGAGTGTTCTTCGAAACCGTTGGCGACTCATATAATCACTTCAATCAGGCTGAGACATTGCGCCTTTCTCGAAACATCGAGGAGAGTGAACTTCGAAATGCACTTGTGGCTCTGGTCAAAATTCACCCTATGCTCCGAGGTCGCTTTACCAGGAATGAAACGGGAAACTGGAAGCAGCGTATCGAGCAAGATATCGAAAACTCATTCAGGCTGCAGCATCATCGCGTACAGGAGATGAGTGATCCAAAACTACAACGCGCGTTTGACAATAGCCAGGCGAGCTTGAACATCACCAGTGGTCCGACTTTCGCCATTGATCTATTCGAGATCGAGGATAACTTCTCCCAAGTACTGACACTGGTTGCGCACCATCTTGTCATCGACATCGTTTCGTGGGGTGTTCTTCTCGAAGATCTCCAGGCGTTGTTAAATGGAGTGCAGCCTTCTCCTCAGAGTCTTCCTTACCATGCATGGCTACAACAGCAGTTTTTGCAGGTCAAACAAGAAAACCCTAGGAAAGTCTTCCCCACCGTGGAAGTTGGGCCTGCCAAATTTGATTACTGGGGTATGGAAGGGCGGCCCAATCTGAATGGTGATGTGATCAGTGAAGAAGTAGGGTTGTCCACTCGTGACACAATGCTGCTTCTTGGTGCCCAAGATGCTTTAGCAACGGAAATTGTCGATATTCTGGTTGCCGGACTTCTCGAGTCTTTCCGTAAGACGTTTTCAGATCGTTCTACTGTTGCGATACACAACGAAGGCCATGGCAGAGAGACATTCAGTTCTCGTCAGGATCTTTCTCGGACAATTGGTTGGTTCTCCACTGCGACTCCAATTTACCTCCCTATCTCTGCAGATGAAAAGACAGATATCATCAGCACGATTCAATGGGTGAGGGACTTCAGGCTCAGAACTCCAGACAAAGGACGACCGTATTTTGCCTACAGAAATCTGACTGAAGAAGGCCGGAAGCGATTTGATGGCCACTGGCCAGCTGAGGTTTTGTTCAACTACGTTGGAAGACTTCAGCACCAAGATCGTAAAGACGGCATGTTTGCTGCTTTCACTGGTCTAAAATCTAAAGAAATTGGAGATGAAGTTCCCCGTCTTGCTCTTTTCGAAGTCACCGCTGCGATCTCTAAGGGAGCCATCAGCATATGTTTTGATTGGAATCGGAACATGTAAGTGTGTTGTGAGAATTCAGATATATTCTCGTTCCCATCAAATTTCCTTAGGCTATTGAATTTCGCGTGCTAACATGTTGGGTTTTACCAGGAGTCGGCAACAAGAGATCCGCGAATGGGTTGGACAATGCCGTCAGACGCTTGTTGATGCCATCGATGAACTATTACAAGTTCGACAAGAGCTGAGCCTCAAGAACTTCCGAAGTTTGCCGCTGCTCTATAATGGTCTCGATAGGATCACGAAAGCCCTTCCTGCGGGCTTGAATCTTGCCGACATTGAAGACATCTACCCTGCTTCCCCCATGCAACAAGGACTGCTCTTCACGCAATCTCGAAATCCTGACCTATACACATATCAGACAATATGTCAGGTCAAATCAACCGATGACAGTTCGGTCGACCCTCGTCAACTTGCCGAAGCATGGCAGGTGGTGGTTCATCGCCATCAAGCCTTACGTACCATCTTCATCGATGGCCTTGCCAAAGACGGCTCCAAAGACCAAATCGTTGTCAAAAATAAGGCCGGGAGAGTCCAGTTGTTTGCGGATTGCGACGACCGTCGCATTGTAGAGACGCTACGTGGCCTGGCTCCAATTGATTGTCGTGACTTCACCCCTCCACACAGAATGACCATCGCAAAAACGAAGTCTGGCGAAGTGTGGATGAAGATTGAGATCAGCCACGTGATCAATGACGGTACTTCCATCTCGAACATGCTTGTAGATCTCGCTCGTGCGTACGCGAGAAGATTATCGCGAGCAGATATCGGACCCCTTTACTCCGATTACATTGAACATATTCTTTCCATGCCGAGAGATGCTGATCTGGCTTACTGGAAGACGTACCTTTCGGGAATTGAGCCTTGCTTTTTCCCGAATCTCAACGACGGGAGGCCGCTTGCGCGTGAACCTGCTTCAGTCGTTGTTGATATACGTTACATCGATCCAGCTCAAGCATTCTGCAAGCGAAATGGGGTCACTCTTTCCAACCTTCTTCAACTTACTTGGGCTTTGACTCTACACTGTGAGTACACTTACGGTCCCAGTATTAACTTTTGGTTCTTTGCTGACTACTTTCCTCTTCCAGACTATGTCGGCGCTTTTGATGTGTCTTTTGGCCTAGTAGCATCTGGTCGGGACATACCTGTTACTAACATTGAGTCTGCTGTAGGGTGTTTCATTACCATGCTTTGCGCTCGTCTAGTGTTCTCAGACAACACAACTATTGCCGAACTTCTCAACTCTTTGCAAGCAAGCTCTACTGATGCTCTATCTCACCAAAATTGCTCTCTTGCCGATGTCCAGCATGAGATGCAATTACCCGCACTCTTCAACACCGCTTTCACATTTCAGCGCCGCAGTCTCTCACGCGACCCTGATCAGATAGCGCTTGTCTACGAGAACATGGAGGCGGACGATTCCGGGGAGTATATCGTCACTGTCAATGCGGATGTCATGGATGACAGTATCACTATCGATTTTGGGTATTCACGAGACAAGATCATTCCTACCCAGGCTCAGAATATGGCGGACACATACGAGAAGATCTTGAATATCATTGTGAGTAATGTGGCCAGCGAACTCACGGTTGGGGGTGTGGATGCATCTACCGAAGGCAGCCTTCGCCAGATTCTGGGTTGGAATGCAGAGCTCCCTCCGCCTATCAACCGGTGTGTACACAAGGTCATCCATGACCAAGCTCTGACGAGGCCGCGCATGACAAAAGCAGTTGAGGGATGGGATGGGTCGTTCACCTATCAGGAGTTTGACAGGGTCACCGATCAGTTGGCGGCTCATCTTCAGTCTATTGGCATCAAGACCGAGACTTTTGTTCCCATATTGTTCGAGAAGTCATCATGGGCAATTGTCAGCATGATAGCTATCATGAAAGCAGGGGGCGCGTATGTTCCTCTTGATCCCAAACACCCGCAGACGCGTCTTCGCGAACTCATAGCGGACGTCGGAGCAGAGGTTGTCTTATGCTCCCGTAAGCATCAAGCAACTGCATTAGAGGTGGCCAAAACACCCTTTGTAGTTGATCAGCGCTCGACCCGAAAGCTAGCAACGCCTGCTTCTAGCGCGCTTCTTGCGGCAGCAACTCCTGAAAATGCAGCGTACTGCCTATTTACGTCTGGTACCACCGGAAAGCCGAAGGGGACAATTATTTCGCATCGAGCATTCTGCACAAGTGCAGCTGCCTTCACTCGTCGCATGAACATCAATGCTACGTCGCGCACTTTCCAGTTCGCCTCGTACACGTTTGACGCCAGCTGCATAGAAATCTTGTCCGCATTGACAGTGGGCGCCACAGTTTGTGTACCCTCGGAAGATGACAGGATGAACAATTTGGCCGGTGCGATTCGCAAATTCAAGGCCAATTGGTCACTCCTGACCCCTTCTGTTCTTGGTACTGTTGAGCCAGAGCGCGTTTCCTGCTTGAAGACTCTCGTGTCCGGAGGCGAAGCGCTCCCTGGGCATATTCTCAAAAAATGGGGCACCAGCACATGCTTTATCAATGGTAAGTATCACAATAGCTTCTGCTGAGAATCATCAGCTAACACAAAATGTAGCATATGGACCAACAGAATGTGCCGTTGTAGCAGCCACTGCGTACAAATCCACGCTCGACCACAAGCTCATTGCATCCGAACCTGGTACTATCGGCACTGGAAGCGGATGTCGTTTGTGGATCGTTCACCCACGAAATCACGACAAACTGATGCCGGTAGGCACTGTGGGTGAATTGGTCATTGAGGGACCCACTGTCGCTCGCGGATACTTGAACGAGGAAGAAAAGACAAGAAAAGCGTTCATCACTAATCCTTCATGGGCGGCAACGATCGCTTCGCAACATGGCACATTTGAGACTGTTCGTATGTACAAGACTGGCGACTTGGTTCGCTACAACAGCGACGGTTCTGTGAGTTATGTCGGACGCAAAGACACGCAAATCAAGCTCAATGGACAGCGTGTCGAGCTGGGTGAAATCGAGTACCACGTAGGCCAGAACCTCCCGGAGAACGTACAATCAGCCGTCGAACTCATCGCTCCCTCAACACGGAGCTCAGCAAAAGCTTTGGCAGTATTCTTCGCAATTTTACAGCCTTCTCTGGTTGAGGGTGAACAAGACGCACAGCATGCAACGGTTGATGATGCAAGCTCTGATGACCTCCTTCTTCCTCTAGACGACCAACTGCGAGACATCTGCAAGAATGCAGAAAACGGTCTCGCAGGCTCACTACCGACATACATGATCCCTTCTATCTTCATACCGGTCAAAAAGATGCCATGGACGTCGGCTGGAAAATTGGATCGAAACCGTCTACGGGGGTCTGTACAAGATCTTAGCCGTGAAGCGCTAGCCATGTACCGACTTAGCAGCATGGCAAACAAGAAGCAGCCTACCACAGATGCGGAGAAGAAGATTCACAAGGCTGTTTGCGCAGTGCTGAATCTGCCTGCTTCCTCAGTCAGTGTTGATGACAGCTTTATCCGTCTTGGTGGTGATTCAATCTCATCTATGCGCCTCATTGCGATGGTGCAGACTGAACAACTAGAACTGTCCTTCATTGATATTTTCAAATCACCCAAGCTCGCTGATCTGGCCAAAATCGCCTCGCGCACCAGCACTCCTAGCCAGCATGGGAAATCTCTACAGCCATTCAAACTTCTTCGAGAACCTCTCAAGACATCGGATGTCCTTGATAATGTTATGGAGCAATGCCAGATACCCAGCGCAAATATACAGGACGTGTATCCAACGAGTCCACTTCAGGATGCCCTCATCACTCTCACCATCAAGCAGCCGGGGGCATATGTTGCCCAGCATGTCCTCGCGCTCCCACAGTCCGTGGATATGACCAAGTTTCGGTCAGCCTGGGAAAAGGCGATGGGAGAGGTCGATATCCTACGCACTCGCATCATCCAACTTGCATCTGGTGCATTTATGCAGGTTGTGTTGAAGGGGGACCGAGTTGACTGGAATGAAGCAGGCTCCCTTCAGGATGTTCAAGTGGAAGTGCTAAAAATCCCCTCACACCATGGCGGCCGCCTTGCGACTTACACAATCGTCACCACCGAATCTAATCAGCGGTACTTTGTATGGACAATGCATCATGCCCTTTACGATGGCTGGAGTATCTACTTGATGTTGCAGCGCGTCGAGCAAATCTACATGAAAGGAGTATCGAACGTCATGCAAACCCCTTACGCTCGATTCATCCAATATCTGTCCAACAGAGATCACAGTGTCTCAAAAGAGTATTGGAGAAAAAATCTAGAACAGGTCGATGCATATCAGTTTCCCAGGTCTTCGCAAGTCGGCATAAAAGACAAGCCAAAGGGGCAAACACTTCATCACCAGATGAAACTAGCCCCTCACAAGCATGTCGACGTTACACCCACGAATGTCATTCGAGCGGCTTGGGCTATAGTACTTGCGGCTTACACACACAGTAATGACGTTGTCTTTGGAGAGACCCTCACCGGACGCGATATCGCCGTCAATGGCATCATGGACGCATGTGGGCCTGTTTTGACGACTGTTCCAACAAGAGTGAAGATCGATAGCGGAGCGACCATTCGTGAGCTTCTTCAAGCAATAGCATCCAATGTCACCGAGCGTATACCGCATCAGCACTATGGCATATCTGCCATTAAAGCGATTGGCAATGAAGCGGCAGCTGCCTGTGATTTCCAGAATCTTTTGGTGGTTCAAACGGACAATGAGGCACTTGAAAACACGATGTGGTCAATTCACGACAACGGCAACCAAGGTAATTTTTTCACGTACCCTCTTGTCATCGAATGCAAAATTAGGTCTTCCAGCACCGATTTTCTCATGCATTTTGATGCGGACGTCATCTCCTCTTGGCATGTTCAGCGACTCGCTTACCAGTTCGAGTCTGTATTGAATCAACTCCAAAGTGTAACGCGCATCAGCCAAGTCAGTGTCTTCAGCGACCAGGACAAGCAGCTCGTTCGCAAATGGAACGCCCACGAGCCCCTTTTGGTCGATGAAACTATACCAGCTGTATTCCAAAACAACGCGAAGGCTCAACCCGACGCAGTCGCAGTTGCAGCGTTTGATGGTGAACTTACGTACGCTGAGCTCGCTAGGTACGCGACGAACCTGGCACAGGAGCTCCTCAATCTCGGTGCCGGTCCCGAAACACTCGTCCTGATATGCCTGGACAAATCACTCTGGACTATCGTTGCTATGATGGGGATCATTCTGGCCGGCGCTGCCTATGTACCATTGTCGCCAGAACACCCTCCCTCCCGACATGAGCAGATTATTGAGACATGCAAGTCTTCCATTATACTTTGCTCACCATCATACAAATCTCGATTCGAGGCCCTGGTGAAGCACGTTCGGACTGTTACTGGAGATTCTATACAAAAACTCCCAGCACCAGAGGCGCCGCTGCCTCAAAGGATCAAGAGCAATAATGCTTGCTATGTTCTCTTTACCTCTGGAAGCACCGGAATCCCGAAAGGCGCTGTCATAGAGCATAGAAATGTCACGTCGAACGCCATTGCAATCAGTGAAGCTGCCCATATGACTCCTACTTCGAGGGTGATTCAGTTCGGTTCATTGGTTTTCGACGCTTCTGTACTTGAGATCTTCATACCTCTTCTTCTTGGGGCCACTGTTTGTGTACCGTCTGAAGAGAAAAGCACTACCGATCTGGCTTCAGCACTGACTTCGTTGAAGGCTGATTGGGCTTTCATGACCCCATCTGTTGCCAGCACGCTTGACGGGCCACAGTCGGTTCCTACTCTGAAAACGCTCTCTGTTGGAGGAGAAGCAATCACCACCGAAGTAATCAACAAATGGGCATCTGGAGTCAAGTTAGTGAATGGTTATGGACCGACAGAGTGCTGCATCTTCGCTGTCACGAATGATAAGGTACGGGAGCAACGCTCCCTCTCCAATATTGGAAATGTGCTTAGGACTGGGCGAGGTTGGCTGACCAATCCCAACAACCCTCATCAGCTTGCACCCGTTGGAGCCACGGCAGAGCTGTGCCTAGAAGGATCGAATGTGGGACGAGAGTACTTAAACGATCCCAAACGAAGCGCGGAAACTTTCGTCGAGAACCCAGATTTTCTCAAGGACTTTGCTGGGTCTCCTGGAAACCGCGTATATCGTACTGGAGATCTTGTCTCATATGATTCTGATGGTTCCATCAAGTACATGGGACGGAAGGACAACCAGATCAAACTTGCTGGGCAGCGTATGGAGCTTGGTGAAGTTGAACATAACTTGCAACAAGACGACAGCATTCGCCAGCTAGTCGTACAACTTCCCAAAACTGGACCATGTGCCAAGAAGCTTACTGCTGTTGTCAGCTTCTCGGCCGGCGTGGCGGCACACGCGAACACTCAATGGAATACGCCGCTTTCCGATCCTGAATCTCTTTCGCTCCTGAATCGCTCGCGAGAGAGGCTGATGGACCGAGTTCCACCATACATGGTCCCCATCGTGTGGATAGCAGTTCCTCGCATTCCATCTCTCGTTTCTACTAAATTTGACAAAAAGCAGGTTGGTTCCTGGTTGGAGAGTCTTGACAATTCTACATATGAGAAGATTATGCAGACCGAATCTGCTGGGGATGCAGGAGAAGAGATGAGTGATGCCCTTGTCATGCTTCGTGGAATATGGGCGAAGGCCCTGAACATTCCGATTGACAGAGTCAAACCGAATCGATCCTGGCTTTGTAAGCGGTCTAGATTTCGAACTCAAATATTTTGCAGTGCTAACCAAGACTAGCATTGGGTGGTGATTCCATCGCTGCCATGAAGATGCTTGCAAGATGCAGGAGTGAAGGCATTCATGTCACTTTGAACCAGGTGCTTCGTGCCAAGTCACTTGCCCATTTGGCAGAGAGCGTGAAGTTTACTGCCACCGTAGCCCACGGCGAAGAGCGACTTGACGAACCGTTTCAACTGGGACCTATCCAGCGCTTTTATTTCCAACATGAAGGAACAGAGGAGAACACTCACTTCAATCAGTCATCTACATTGCGTATCACTTCGCGCGTGGAGCCCTCTGCTGTCAAGCGCGCCCTTGGTGCCATCGTTGCATGCCATGGCATGCTGCGCGCCCGTTACTCAAAGAACACGGCAGGAGAATGGCAGCAGCTTGTCAAGCCGGTAGCGAATTCTTACGTATTCGAGGCCCATGTCGTCTCAACTGTGGCTTCGGCTATCCCTATCGTAGCCAATACGCAGAAGAGTCTTGACATCCGACAAGGCCCTGTGTTCGCCGCGAATCTTTTCGATATCAAGGGTGAACAGGTCATTTTCATGGCGGCGCATCACCTCGTCGTTGATCTCGTGAGTTGGGGCATGATTATACAAGACCTAGAAGATCTCTTGGGGTCGACTAGCTCAATGCCAACGCTTCAAAAGGGTCTATCATTTCAGGCTTGGTGTGAGAAACAGGGCATTCACGCATTGGACGCGCTTCAGCAATCATCCATCCAAAGACAACCTCTTGTCGTACAGCCAGCAAATCTCTCATTCTGGGGTATGGACACAAGACCCAATCTGTATGGGGATGTTGAAAGAGATGATTTCACCGTCACCAAAGAGATCACTGCTATGGCAACAGGCCATCATCATGTGTACAAAACAGACCTTGTGGACATCTTCCTTGCGGCTGTTATACATTCTTTCTCACGTGTTTTCATCAATCGCAAGGTCCCGACAGTCTTCAACGAGTCTCATGGTCGCCAAGTATGGGAATCGAGCAACATAGACCTTTCCCGGACTGTGGGATGGTTTACAACGATGTACCCAATCACTATCCCTATCGGTGATGATGAAGACGAAGTTCTTCATACTCTTCGACAAGTCAAGGATACGCGCGGAAAGATCGCGGATAGTGGAAGGCCTTACTTTGCACATCGTTTCCTTACGGAGCACGGAAAGCAACAATTTTCAGACCATGCACCGATAGAAGTTCTTTTCAACTATCTTGGTTACCAAGGAAGTTCTGGCGATGGGAAATCTTTGCTACAACCTACAAGCATTGACAGCGATGACGGAGAAGAAACTGCTGACGTTGGCAAGAAAACCTCTCGCATGGCATTGTTCGAAATATCTGCAATTGTGGCTAATGATCAGATCCAATTCAGCTTCATGTACAACCGCTGTTCGAAAAATCAAAAAGGTATTCGCAGGTGGATTGCCGAATGCCAACACACTCTGGAGGAGATTGCCTATGAGCTAGCCAAGCTAAACAAGCCCCAACCCACAATTGGGGATCTTCCTCTTTTGCCCTTGGAGTCTTACAGTCGCCTTGATCGGGTGCTCAAGACACTGCCCGACGTCGGCATCTCATCGTTTGATCATGTGGAGAACATATATCCTTGTTCACCAATCCAGGACGGAATGATTCTCAGTCAAATTAGGGCTCCTGAGTCGTACTGGTCTTCAACAGTCTTTGAAGTCAAGGCGCGACGTGGACCCGTCGATGCCAAGAAAATCGTTGACGGATGGAGACAGGTTGTTGCTCGCCATCCAGCTTTGCGCACTGTTTTCATCGATAGCGTCTGCAAGGGCGGCGTGTTCGATCAGATTGTGCTCAAGAATCCAGACTCTGGAGTTGTAACTTGCACGTGCAGTGACGCAGAGTTGTCCGCGATGCTGCAGTCCATCAAGCACAGTTCGCTCAACGGCAAGAAGAAACCGGTCCTTCCGCACCAAGCCGCTGTTATACAGACCACATCGGGACGGGTCATTGTCAAACTCATCGTCAACCATTCGGTGATTGACGGCGGATCACTTGCAGTCATTGAAAACGACCTTCAGGAAGCATACGAAGGGCGCTTGACCGGTGAAGGTCCACTCTACAGCGACTACATCAAATACCTTCGGCAATTGTCTGCAGATGAAGCCATCGAATACTGGAAAGCAAAACTTCGTGGCGTTAGTCCCTGCTACTTCCCCACTGCAACTCGAGACCCAAGTAAACCACGACAACTCAAATATTTCGATATGCGTTTCAGCCGCTTTGGAGAGCTACATGACCTTGCCGAGGCCAGTAATGTCACATTTGCCAATCTATTCTTGACAGCCTGGGCACTAGTACTTCGTTCTTATACCAAATCCTCCGACGTTTGTTACGGCTACCTCACTTCTGGAAGGGATGTGCCCGTTCCCAATGTAGAGGGCGCTGTCGGAGCATTCCTAAACATGTTGGTATCGCGCGTTGAAATCAACCAGACTTCTCAATTTCTTCAAGTCACGCAAAAGGTGCAATCGGACTTCATTGACTCAACTCCGCACCAGCACTGCTCCCTCGCGCAGTTTCAACACGATTTAGGGCTATCTGGAAAGGCTCTTTTCAACACTGCTATCTCAATTCAAAAATGCAGTGGCTTAGACGATGAAATGACAAATACAGCCATTGAGTTCGAGCAGCTAGACGGCCACGATCCTAGCGAATTTGCCATCACGGTGAACATCGATGCAACGCGACACGACGAAGGTGTACGCTTTACTTACTGGAATGATGCCGTTACTGATACCGAGGTGAAGAACGTATCCTCTCTAATGTCTACAATATTAGTACAAGCTCTACGTGACTCCAAGCAAACAATCGGAGAGCTGGACGTTGTGCTAAATGGAAAGCCTGCGCATGCAAGCATAGCGTACTTGGCACCACCACCGTTGCATCCATCAACTCTTCGGTCTGGGACAAGCACTTCCAGCACGTCAGCGACCTCTCCGCCACAAACACCTCAAATCACCTTCCCGGATATTACTGCAGCGGTTCCTGCAACGACTGGCACACCGGATTGGACGAATCTCATTCGGTCTATTGTCAGCGAGATGGTTCCTCAGATCGTCAATCAGATCGTCGCTCAAAACAAGTTGCCGGCAGAGACCACTTCGTCAACTATCGATCAAATGACCACTCAGATGACGGGTATGCTTAGTAGGAAAGCATCTACGTCGCACCGTGTTCGCGCGAGCCTTGACGGCCCGATGGTTCCTGCGGGTTCCATACGAGCCGAATCTATCCGTTCGCGTCGTCTGAGTCTTGTCAGCAACGCTGAGAGCAGAATACAGACGGCCGCAGACATGGTGGCTACCCTGGGTGCCTATGCCACGGAGGCTTCGCCCAAGGTGGCCCCTGATTTCGTGGAGAAGAAGCTGCTCAACTTGTGGAGTGAACTGCTGGAAATGGTTGAAGAGTCAATCGAACAAGACGCCAGCTTTTTCCAGCTGGGTGGGGATAGCATCATCGCTATGCGTCTGGTTGGTGCCGCAAGAGAAGAGGGGCTGTCAATGACGGTCGCAGATGTGTTCAAGAACCCCACTTTTGCGGACATGGCTCGCGTGGTACGTGTTGCAGGTGAAGTCATTGACGAAGTCATGTCACGAGCGGGTGGAGAATCTGTAGTTGGTGATGGGGATGTTGGAGATCAGTCCAAGCATCGACGTCACGGATCCCGCGGTCGGGCAGCGTCTATCTGGAGCGACATGCATTCCATTGCATCAGAGCTCAGGAGTGACATGCAAGGATTGACTTTCAATGACCCACAAGTCACTGATGAACCAGAAGTCACGAAGAACGACACAATGTTCAACAGATGGCAAGGCTTTTCAGCGACTACTCAAGAACGACCGTCTACGCCACGAAAAGTCACGTACAAGACGTCGCCAGTACCACAAACCGTCCATGAAGGAGTAGAGAGCTCAAACATCAAATCCGTCTCTCTCCTTGGCGATCCGAACGTCGACAACGTCATCTCAAAGGTGCAGGTCTTCAAGGGCGGTATCTCGGATATCTTTCCCGTAACAGATTTCCAAGCTCTTGCTATTACTGGTTCAATTATGGAGTCCAAATGGATGCTCAATTATTTCTACCTCGATGGACGAGGACCACTGGACCTCCGCAAGCTCAAACAAGCTGCTTACCGCATGGTGCAAGCCTTTGACATTCTGCGCACCGTATTCGTTCCTTATGGCGACCGCTTTCTCCAAGTCGTTCTACGCAAACTTCAACCGGAATTCATGTATGAACAGACCGACGACGATCTTGACACCTTCACTAGAGGCCTACAGCAAAGAGATCGTGAGATGGGCCCTCGCGTCGGCGAAGCCTTTATTCAGTTTGTGGTCGCGAAGCAAAAGCAAACTGGAGCTCACCGTATCTTCATGAGGTTGTCGCATGCCCAGTACGATGGCGTATGCATGTCCAAAATCCTTCTTGCACTCCAGGACGGTTACAACGGCCTTCCTGTCTCATCTGCTCCAAGTTTCGGCAACTTTGTCAGAGAAACGGTAAAGACAGTGAGTGGAGCCCACGAACACTGGAGAGAAGTACTTCGTGGATCCAAGATGACCGAGATTGTCAACCGCTTCGGTCCAAACTACGAACGCGCGGCTGGTCGCTCAATCACTCTGGAGAGGAAAGTCGACTCACCCTCGCTCAAGCGATTCGACATCACCAGCGCCACTGTTGCCAAGGCAGCTTGGGCATCGACTCTTGCACGTATCGCCAGCAAGTCCGACATCGTGTTTGGACACGTCATCTCGGGTCGCAACGGAAGCGTCCCAAACATTGAGAATATCGTCGGTCCTTGCCTGAACATGGTTCCCGTGCGTGTTACCTACCGACCTGACTGGACTGTGCTCGATCTGCTCCAAAACATACAAGACCAGCAGATATCTAACATGCCATACGAGGCACTTGGTTTCCGTGAGATCACTCGCAACTGTACAGAGTGGCCTGACTGGACCAACTTTTCAAGCATTCTGCAACACGACCAGGGTACCCAGGTCAGTCATCAAAGTATGCAATTGGGAGGCGTTGAGTACACTGTCGGCGCCCTTGGATCCCAGGAAGACTTCGCAGATCTTTCCATACACACAATCTCGCGCGCCAACAATGAGATGGAAGTCCGCCTAACATATGCTCCCAACAGCACCATCACCGCTGATTTTGCACAACATGTTTTTGAGATGCTTTGCGCCAACGTTATCGCCTTCTCCCATAGCCCCCGCGATGTACTACCATCGCCTTCAGAATTCAGCTCTCAGAGCCCAACAACCATCAATCCAGAGAAGATACGCAAGAGATCCACAGAGAAACAACCCATCTCCCTCCCAACAGATACTGGTCTTAGTCTCCAAGAAACAAGCAATGTCGCGGAATCCCTGCGCGCAGCATGGGAACAAATCCTGCACGACGAGAACGGTCTTCCCGCCCCCGTCGAGCTAAACTCCGACTTCTTCCAGCTCGGCGGCGACATCATGGGCCTAGCACAAGTCGCCTCCATTCTGGACCAAGAAGGCCTTAAGGTGCGCGTCGAGGATTTACTAGATAAATCCGTTTTCTTCGACCAAGTAGGCATTGTGGCTGCGGAGCGCAAGAAGCAGATTGATCGTGATGCGCAGAACCCTTGGGGCGATAAGGGTAGGCTGAGGGTAGAGGAGAGGACCAAGGATCGTAGGGGAAGTGCGTTGGGAACGCTGGCGAAGCGGTTTGGGTTTAGTAGGAAGGAGAGTAATAAGGAACTTCCTAAGGCGCCGTGAGCGAGTTTGAGAGGTAGTTTGTTATCTTTTAGTTGATTTTCATAAGGAGTTGTTTGTTTATGGTAGTTGGTGGGGTAATCAGTTTTCATCTGTTTTCGCCATGGTGTGATTGTCTTACAACGCTTTTCTTTCCTTTTTCTGGGGCTTCGGTCGGACTGGCGTTTAATTATTTTTTTTTGGTTGGCGGATAAAGGCTAGGAGTTTTGACTACTTTTCTTTTCTTTCTGCTATAGTGTCAATTCAACTGTTCAAGACAAACACATTCGGTTTGAAGTTTTCTAAGAGACAATTTTTTGCAAACAAAATTCACATTTTTCGTCGAACTATCATTACTCTACTATACTCTTCCAATAAGTGACGAAATGCACTAAACCATCCCCGAAAATCCACCGCTGCAGTGTGAGATACCAGTAGGTCCACCAGGAACCGATGTTTAGTCGACCTTAAGCTTCTGGGGCTCACGCTTATCAACCTTGAGCTTTTGAGGCTCCCTCTTGTCAACCTTGAGCTTTTGGGGCTCCCTCTTGTCAACCTTGAGCTTCTGGGGTTCGCGCTTGTCGACTTTAAGCTTCTGGGGCTCACGCTTATCAACCTTGAGCTTTTGAGGCTCACGCTTGTCAACCTTGAGCTTCTGGGGTTCGCGCTTATCGAGAGTGAGCTTTGGGGTCTCTGGCTCACGCTTGTCAACCTTGAGCTTCTGGGGCTCGCGCTTGTCGACCTTGAGCTTTTGAGGCTCACGTTTGTCGACCTTAAGCTTCTGGGGTTCGGGGTCGCGCTTGTCGACCTTGAGTTTCTGAGGTTCGCGCTTATCAACCTTTAGTTTCTGAGGCTCCGGGTCGCGCTTGTCAACTTTAAGTTTTTGGGGCTCCCTCTTATCGACCTTCAACTTCTGAGGTTCGGGGTCACGCTTGTCGACCTTGAGCTTCTGTGGCTCGCGCTTATCAACCTTAAGCTTCTGGGGCTCTGGGTCACGTTTGTCGACCTTCAGCTTCTGAGGCTCGCGCTTATCGACCTTCAGCTTCTGAGGCTCACGCTTGTCGACCTTAAGCTTCTGGGGCTCCGCATTGCGGCCCATGAGGCCCTCAAGACCTTCAAGAGGCGCGGGGGCATTGCCAGCTGCGTTCTGGTGTTAGAATGGACTGATTCCTTTTGCATCTCTGCCTAAAGCTATGACTTACCTGCGCTAATAGGGAAGGAGGCGGCCGAAGTGGCCATGAGGGCCACGGTCACGACGTTGGAAAATCTCATTGTTGTGGTGGTCGATGTTCTTGGCTAGGACTGACGTTCGTCGCTGGATGTAAGATGGGCTTTTATTGCTGAATGCGAAGCTGCGAACTCAATGCTGGTGATGATGATATTGTTTAAACAGCCGGATGCTGATGCCTTATGTATCTCGCTGGCATTACCATGGCCGTCGAGACTCCAGGAGCCTGTTGAATGCGTTGATGGTACGACAGCATCTTCCAGACAGCGTACAGCGGAGGTGTGCGCCTGGCCGTGTGCAAGATGCGGAGGAGGAGAATGCTGTTGTCGGAATGCGGAGACGTTGGTGGAGTGGGTTCCGAAAGTTGAACCAGGCCGGGATGTCTCCTCCGGTCTTGGCAGCTTTCTTCGGTGCCGTAGTACTAAACACCGGCGATGATCAACCCCGACTAACATTGTCGGCTGCCCATTGTCTGTATGGGCTCACCTTTGACGTATGTAAGTGACGACAGCAATGCTGCCACTTAAAAGACATATTGGTGCGAACTTGGCCATGGTAAAAAGAAACCACGACACAAATTTGCAACAATGCAGGGAAGTTTTCCTCGACAGTCCATGTCCGTCGACATGACACAAGTGGACATGGAAATGCAAGCTAGCAGCTCAAGAAGCAGCACCATATTCGAGTGCTCTGAGGAACGCACACCTTCCATCAGCATGTGGAGACTGCTTGCGCTGACACTGCCTAACTTTGGGTGAGCAAATACCCCCTTTTGTGCGCAACCGACACAGCTGACACAGTTGGCCAGCATCCAGGTACTATGGCTGATCATCATGTCGTATGGTACGCCATACATGACTGGCCTCGGTATACCCAATTCCATCACAACGCTCGTTTGGGTCTCAGGGCCGCTCAGCGGTGCACTGATTCAGCCGCTGTTCGCAGCCATGTCAGACAGCACTCAGCATCCATGGGGAAAGCGCAAGCCATATATTGCTGGCGGTGCCGCCTTTGTCGCCCTCTCGCTGCTGGGCCTAGCCTATGCTGAAGATGTATCCAACTGGCTTACGAGCACCTCGTCTTCACACAAGCATATGTACGCCTCGGGCCCGCCAAAGGCTAGCGCCCTGACGAAGTTGATGGTGACCTTCTGGGTGTGTGCGCTGAACATCGCCATCCAACCGCTACAAAACGGAGTGCGCGCCCTCGTCGTCGACAGCTGCCCTGCCCACCAGCAAAGCACCGCAGCAGCATGGACTGCGCGTTTCAACGGTCTAGGCGCCGTGGCCATTTCAGCGTCTGCCTTCGCTGACGTCGAGGCGTGCGCGCCGATATTGGGTGAGACCAAATTCAAGGCGCTTTGCATGCTGGCAGTGCTGGCACTGGGCACGACCATCACACCAGCATGTGTTTTGATACGCGACAAGCCCAGTAAGGGTGTTAGTACACGCCATGGAGCAGTGAGCCTGTTCGCACGGCTTTGGGCGCTGGCTGGGAATCTGCCACCGGTTACAAAGCAGGTCTGCAAGGTGCAGTTCTGCGCCTTCACGGCTTGGTTCTCGGTCCTGTATTACTCGACCACCTACGTCTACCAGGTCTTCGTCATCGACCAGCACGTCCACCTCGACCCTGAGATTTTCGGTAGCGCAGACCCCCGCCTCGTTGACATGGGAAAGCAAGCCGGAACTCGTGCCTCGTTTGTCTTTGCCAGCGTCACCTTCGCTTCGTCTCTGCTTCTACCGCTCATCGCCCGTTACTCCGCACGCCAGCCAGCTTCCGGTCATTCCATACCGACGGTTACAGTATTTTCCACATCTCTTGGCCATGTTTGGTATCTTGCACATTGCTTGTTTGCCGCTCTGATGTTTCTGACTTGCTTCGTCTACACTGTGCCTGCTGCCACTGTCATCGTCGGTGCACTTGGCATTGCCTGGTCTATCGCGTCATGGGCTCCATACGCGCTCATCAGCACCGAAATTGCCACTCTCAAGGCTCAGAAAGAAGCAGGCCATGGGTCAGCTGAAAAGCGCACGGGGGCCACAGGAGCATGGGTGGATGAGACTACAGCAGGTATCATGGCCATTCATAACATGGCCATCTCCTTGCCCCAGATTGGCGCAGCCCTGGGGTGCACTGTGCTGTTCAAGCTCGTGGAGATGTCTAAGAGGGACGATCCGGCTGCGTTTGCTTTCAAGTTTGCTGGTATCATGGCGGTGGTGGCGGCATGGATGGGCAGGACTTTGAGATAACTTTTAGAATCGTCCTTGTATATAATTGCGAGATACTGACTCTGCGCTCAGGCTGTTGCGTACCTAGCACCAAGTACAAAAGCATACATTGATATAGCTAGTATATCCTATAACCTTCCATCTGAAAATACTAAAACCTTTTGAACAAGAATCACGAGAGAGTGGCTGTGGCGAAGTATGAAACGGAGTGGGAATTTTCTTAGAACAAACGCTACCTAGTATCACAAGGACCACATGGTAATTCATTGTGAAGCCTATGCCGTAATCTCTACTAGTTGCTTTCTTTCTTCGGTGACTAGTTTAGAAGTCGTCTATCGCACGACATGCCTTCTCCCCCCATACGTTGTTCAATCACCCCAATACTTCGCGTACTAAACCCATCTGACGCAGACAGTCACGTCTAGAACGTCTTCTTGCTCCACATAAAGCTGCTCACTTTACGATCCATCTGTGAAATGGCCATGCACTGGGTATTAAATGCCATTTTACTGCTAAACATACGTGGGCACATGGCCACTATACGCGCTACACGACCCACCCCATCAACATGCCGGATACGAAATCTCAACCCTCGTCACCACCTTATCCAACGGCACCGACGTATTCGCTAGCGTATCCGAGCAATGTTCCGTATGATGATACGTCGCGAGCGAACTCTCCATCTTCCACCCGCGCTCAATAGCCCGATGCATCATCTTCCACCCGTAAATGCAATGGTACACGTGGAAGCGGCGATCCGTCCACATGAGCTCGGTCGTCTGGCTGATATCTTTTAAAGAAGGTATCTGCACTCTTTCTTCTGGAAGCGCCTCGGGTCGCGTGGAGTTGCTGAGGTAAAAATTCCAGGGGCCTTCTTCCATGAATTTGGTGGTGAGTTCGCCGTCGTAGCATTCGAGGGGGAGCCAGGATACGGTCATTAGGTCGAAGACGCAGCCTGCGGCTTCAGCCTCGGCGGGAGAGTTACCGCAGAGTTGGGAGGTGCCGGCTTTGTAGCCCGAGGGCGCTTGGAGGGCGCCTGAGTGACCCGCAGATGATGATGGTGATGCAGAACATGAGGAGCTCAGGTTTGGAAGTATGTGAGGGAATATCAGGACGAGGAGGAGAGAGAGGGAAAGTAAGAGAGCGAGGATGATGCCGAAGGCGACTAGGCCCAGCGCGGTGGCACTGAAAGCATATTTGATCTTATCGATTGTTCGAGATCTTGGTGGCGGCTCGATATCGCTGTAGCTTTCGTTGCCGTGAAGTTGGGAGTATTTTGGTAAACTTGGAGTGCTTGACATTGCATAGAAAGAACGATTGATTTTGAGAGAAAATAGTGGGATAGTATTTTTTCGATGCGCATTCACACAATCGATTAAGAAACATCACGCATATGGCGTGTTTGCTACTATTGGACAACTGGCAATGACCGGTTTCTTCCCAATTCTCGGAGCGACTGCCAGGTGGATGATGTAGATCGAGACTCTATGCCAAGTCGGCGGCACTACTAAATCACGGAGACTTTTATCGGCCTACTAATACTCATTATCGGACATTTGGACGGAGCCTAACGTACTTAGTGCGTACATAGTCAGCACACCACACTGGTACTAGTACTAGTACTAGTGTGCCCGTGCACCTCATGCCCGCTGAACACCAACACCCGTCTCAACACTACAACTCTGGGGACCGAATTGGAACTTAACACAAACTAGCTTTCAAATCCCTGGATTCCATCCCGCTGTTTATGTAGCCATACCTTAAACCAATGGCACTATAGCACAATGAGCCCGAACCGCGGCACCGTATTCGTGGGAATTTGTATTCCCTCTCGTTGCAAACCCGTACTACACTCCGAGAAAGTGCTGATAGTCGTACGACACCCCTGAGCGCGGAACCGCCCTATTAGCAAATGCATTCATTTCCGGTGAGAACATGAAATCATTCTCAGGCGCGAGAATCTGGACTAGCACTTCGACTTGTTCTATTCCCAACTTTTCCAACAATGACGGATGCACCGCGGAGATGCAGTATACTAAGCTACTATCGCTCCTCGCGCCGAGTTTGAACACTGCCCAGCCGCCCCGGCAGAAACTTATGGCACCGACGCGGTTGTATTGGGATCCTAGTTCTGTTGCAAATCTGAGAAGCTCGGGTTCTCTGGTTTCTTTTGAGCTACGGACCATGACCCCGGGTAGGTCGACCTTGCGTAGTTGCGACATATCTTTTAGGAATTCGGCCGGAAGTACTTCACCACCATAGCTAGAACACGACGGCGGGATCCGCGTCGCAGTCAACTTTCTGAAATTTGTGGTGAAATGTACTTACAAGTCTAGCATGTAAACTGTAGTATTCACTTCTTTTGCATACTGGTCAGCGTGAAGCCTGGTGTTGCAAAAGGTCCAGCCGAATACGGCATGCACTATGTCTCAAAGTGGCGACTTGAGGATTGTTTCCAGATACGTAGCTCTTTTGGCCTGTGCAGACCTTTTTTCCCCCACAGGTTCGCCGTCCCAGAGTTTACCTTCGATGCAACATTTGGACAGCGACATTATAGTATGGGTGGCTACTCTGTGTCTGACCAATATCGCGATGTCTCTGGCAATGATTTTCATAGTATTGCTACAAACTTATCGCACTCAGGATTCGAGAATGGCACAAATAGCTCCTTTAACATCAGGATAAGAGAGGAAGGCTCGATTTGACCAAGGGTGCAGGCGTCGGCCAGGCGGGGGCGGGGGTACCGATAGGCACGTCGGCGAGTGTGAAAGCTTAAACGTGAATATACGGGCACTATACTCCTGCGTATGTGGGATGAATATTCACCCAAGATGTCGGCCTCTTCTAGTGATACTAATACCACTGTATCTTTGCCATACAATTCTGCGCATCAACATAATCCCTTAATGGAAAGACGAAAGCCAGTAATTTAGCTTAGGCTGTTCGTCAGCATATCAAAAAAAAATCCCTTTAGAATCTGAACCACGGAAAATTCGAGAGGTTTATGTATCAAATATTTTTCCATTCTCTCTAGTCATCAAAAAGACAATAAACAGCCGAGAGAACTCACTGTTCTATTCAACCATAATCTCGATAACTCCGTTGGGAAGCTTAAAAAGGGTGCTTGATTGCAAACTTCTCAAAACTGATTTTCCCCTCGCCTGACGCTTTGATTGCTTCGATTCCTTCCCTAAGTCCTTGAATTACTCTGAGATTTGGTATACGAAAGCGCTGACCATAGTTTCCAGCTACCCAATCAACTGTTCCAATCAATCGTGACTCCCATTCCTGGTCTGCGGCGATATAGCCTATGGGTGGAGGCAGGTTCGTGTCCCAGGCCCGGGCGGCTAAACACCATATCCACTTATTTTTGTCACTGCTTACTGGCAAAGTCCCAGTGAAAATAGCGTCCGGCGGAGTGTTGATTGCATCACACCTTGACGCCGAGGATGCTTGTCCCTTTGTGCACACTGAATCGAAGATGAACTTCAACGGTTGACCGAATTGATCAACAGCACTCTGGATCTTTGCGACCACGTCGTCATCCCGGTAGTCGAAGCAGTGCGTTGCACCCAGATCCTTCAGTGTTTTATGATGAGAAGAAGATGCTGTAGTGATGATTGGGCTGACACCTGCAGCTTTTGCAATCTGTATTGTTGCCCATCCCACTGCACTACCGCCTCCCCAGATCAGAATGCCGCTTTTTGTTGGCGTTCCTGATGCTTTGATCTCGGCAAAAGGAATTCCCAGTATATTAAACAAGGCATCAGCAGCAGTCCTCACCACGAGTGACATCACCGCACCAGCCTCCTTTGGAAGTGTGGACGGTCGTTTTGCAATCATCGAGTTGCCCTCAGCAAGCAGCCAATCTTGATGCGCTCCAAATTTCGAACCTAAACCTATCTTCTTTGAGCCAAAAATCTCATCTCCGACCGCGTAAGGAAATCCTGTTCCAGCCTTGACAACCTTTCCACTAAACTCGTAACCACAGACGTGGTCATTCATCCTGAAATCGGTTCCATGCTTTAGATCAGCAGGATTGATGCCAGAAAAATGCACCTGAACTAGACCTTGGTTATCAGCGGGCTCGTAAAGATCGTCGCATTCCGTAGCAAACAACTCGTTTTGTGGTCCTATGTATATCGCCTTGTTTGGGGAGGCCATTGCTAAAATGATTTTAATGCGAACCAGAGATAGGAAAAAAGGTGCTGAATCTGGTGTTCACGAAAGGGCGATATACAAGATATTGCAGCCAAAATTAGCGCTAATCTTGATCAGGAAATCGGGTAGCTGGGAACATATGGTTGCGTTCTGGATGAGTACGTAATCCTCCATCGGCAACAAGATGCTGGCCCCCGAGCGGGGGGTCCCGGTGGGGGTGAGCGTGGTCCTAATCGTTGATGGAAATCGCGCATAGAATTATCGCGTCATACAACTAGTTTTAATTATCTCAAATTCGTAATTGAGAATCCATTGATCCAAATTAGTCTTAGCATCGAAATATTCTTATATAATGTTTTGCCCTCGAGGAATGACACGTTCGGGGCCCGACATCACGAACCCGGCATGTTACGAGCGGACGCAAAGCAGATCTATACTTGAACATAATAGAGGCCAGCCATGTTTTGTTGCTCGTACTAAGCCTTCGTGGCAGAGCGGTCCTGGTCCTAGGACCAAGCTATGCAAACAATACATTCCCTAATTCTGTCAAACGAAAACCAGTAAAAATCTCCTTTTCTTTCAACAAAAAATATATATAGCTGCCACGGCAATTTTTCCAAATATCTTGAAGTTTTTTTCCAGTGTCAGTGGTCTGAAGAAGTATTTACTGAAAAGAATATCACTTCTGTAGGACAGCGCATGGTGCAGCGCGCTATAATGACCGTGTCAGTCAGCCGAAGAACAACCATTTTGCGTCCTCTACCATTTTTTCTCGGTATTTTCCTGCTGTTTCAAGCTGAGGGCCACTCAAAATGCACAGGGCCAGCCTTTGTAGACCTTTAAGCGCGTCTGTACGCCCGATTTCCCTAGTTTGCCCTCGAACAGCAAGCCAGAATCGCGGAGCGGATCGGCGCCACACACATGGAACGCAGTAGGTGAAAATTGCTTTACATTTGAGTCAGGCAGCAATAGCGGTGACACGTATGGCTATTATCTTCATGCAAGGGCTCTTGGTCGAGATGCTGCTGGAAGCAGCCAAGAAGACAAAAATCGTAGACGTTCACTTTGACACGCATATCAAGGGATTTGAGCAAGATCAATATGGCGTCACCGTCAAAGTTGAAGCTTCTGGAGAGACTCAAACATTCAGGTCCCAATATCTGGTAGGCTGCGATGGCGCCAGGTCGACAATCCGAAAATCGCTCGGGGTTAGCTTCAGTGGGCATTCCTGGCCTGAGAGGCTGGTTGCTGCAGATGTGCGCCGCACTGTACCCAGCCTTGAAAGACTCCCGGCGCACTTCGTGGTCGACAAAGTTCATTGGGGGGTGGTCTTACCACTTGAAGAGATCGTACCCGGGAAACCTGGACTGTGGCGCTATGCAATGGCTGTTCCTGACGACACATTGACGATTGAGGAGATAGAGAATCCTAAATACGTAAATGAACTCCTCCTCAAGTATTTGGATGGTCCACGGCCTGCCGAGTATACTTTAGTCCGCCATCGTGCTTATCGGCTACACCAGCTCCTGGCAAGTACCATGTATCGAAACAGAGTCCTTCTCGCTGGAGATGCGGCGCATGTTAACAATCCTGTTGGTGGACTTGGGTTGTGCACCGGTCTGCTGGATGTTGACCTTCTCTCTCAGGTACTTGATCTGATTATCAACCACGATTATCATGATCCGCAAGACTTGCTAGCAGAGTACTCAGCAGCTCGACGATTTGTATTCCAGGCGCTCGTGAGCCCCATAAGCAGTGCGAACAAACTCCGACTGCACGAAAGTGATCCGGACGATGCTGCCCGTGAGGATTGGTTTCTTCGAATCTTACGAAGAGGCATTCCACAGGAGATAGGCAAGGCGCACGCGCCACTCCAGCAGTTCTGGAGGACTGACATTCGTTCGATCGCCAAGGACCAAGTAAAACCTAAGCTGGACTTGCGATTACTAGCGGGATGTTGAGCAGGAGGTTTCCGTCCCTTTTGTTATACATATGGAGAAGCCATAAGTGGATGGGGTTTGGAGTACGCGGTGGGTACAAAACATAGTCAAGATACAACTGCTTCATCAACAGATGTGAATATCGTTGTACAAATGTATCTAGAAACTAGGAGTATTTTCCTCTATCCGAAAGCTCAGCAAGTAACATCAGCATACTATTGTGCAACTTTTAATAACATTCGGTACACAAAGCCGCCAGACTTCACTGTGTAGGGTCCGCGGGTTTAGAGAGCACTATGAAGTCATAGCGGAGCCTACGAATTCACGCCTTATCAGGACATTGTAGGGTCTCGCATGGCTGACGCTGGGGTTGAGCGTAGCCATGATTTGGATACATCCGAGTGGGGGATAATACAGCTGGCTACTACTAACGATAAGTGGCCACGCTAGACGCATTCCTCGGCCGAGGCCAGGTGACGCGGATGGCAGGGCCCTCGGGCCCGCACCCTCACAGAACGATACGAGCATAAAGACTCTTGTAAATTTCAACCAAGAGCAGATCTTGCTTCGCGCCGGAGCGGGCGGGTGAAGCTAGACTCTCCCGGCGGAGGAGTAATGTCGGCACCCCCACACGAACTAGTGATGTCCACGTAATGGTACATTGAAGTTGAGTGCTTTAAATAGAGAATACCCATACGAACAATCGGCTGGCTCCTATGCTTGTTTTTTCTACTATACATCAAATACACAAGCGACGATGCTACCAGCGACTGCTGACGAGCCTACCATCCGGCAGCTCCTCGAGCGTGCCCAAATTCTTACACTTCGCAATGCCTTCATCATCGGACCAATTCTCTACACAGCGTTCTGTCTAATATACGCCCTATTTCTCTCCCGCCAACGCAAGATCCCCGGTCCATTCCTCGCGCGAATAACAGGGCTATGGGAGATGAAAAAAGTGATGGACGGAGACATCCACAAAACGATGATCAAGCTGCACGAGAAATACGGTAAGGGCCTTGCCATAACCCTGTGACATGATCCATCGTTTAGAAGCCTATTCAAAGATACTAATGGTATGAGTACGCTAGGTCCCATCGTACGTGTCGCACCGAATCGCTACGACTTCAACACGCTAGAAGCAACAAAAACCATATACCGGATCGGCAACGCATTTCCAAAGTCAAAATACTATGTTCCATTCGGACCGCAGCATGAATCGAATTTGTTTAACGAGCTCGAAAACGATACACATCGTGCGATGAAGAGACAGCTCGCGTCGCTGTATTCAATGTCAACGTTGCTGTCTTACGAAGCCACAGTGGACAACCAGACGGCGATCATGAGGCAGAAGCTTGAGAATTTTGCTGCTACTGGAGAGTTGGTGAATATACCGAAATTCCTCCAGTACTACGCCTTCGATGTGATTGGAATGATTACTGTGAGTTGCAGCGAGCCTTCTTTGTAACAAAACATTTCTGGGTATACGTCGTTTGAAGCTAATCTCCATTTTCAAATATCTAGCTTGGAAGTTCCATGGGCATGATGGAGGCAAATGCAGATGTGAACGGCATCTGTGCAACGCTTGACGCTGCATTTCGCTATACATCTGTAATGGGGCTCTTCCCAACCTTTCATCCATGGCTGGTGTCTCTGATGGGCGCGCTTGGCGCGCGGAGTCCTACATCTCAATTAGACAATTTTGTCATGGAAAAGATGGCGCTGCACCTGCACGAAGCTGCACAGGCCGATGGGTCCAAGAAGAGCGCAACTTTCCTGTCAAAGATGCTTGCACTGCGGGACCAAGGCAAAGGTACCGACAGGGATGTCCGAGTCTGTATAGGCATGAACATTGCAGCGGGCTCGGACACAACAGCTATTAGTTTGAGCTCCATCGTATACTACTTATATACTAACCCTAATGTCTTGGAGCGACTTCGACAGGAGCTAGATGCTCAATCAAAAGCTGGACGGCTATCAAATATGGCGTCTTACCAGGAAGCTCAGGAAATACCGTATCTGCTAGCTGTTATTAAGGAGGCTCTGCGGCTTCATTCCGCTGTTGGCACACAATTGACACGCGTGGTACCAAAGGGCGGTTGCGTGATAGAAGGACATCATTTTCCTGAAGGGGTGAGTAGTTTGATGATACTCAAATTCTCCCTTTCTGCACGTCATATTAGGATCTCTTGCTGACTTTGCTTTGAACATCTAGGCCGAAGTTGGAGTCAATGGCTGGGCACTTCATTATAACAAAGAGGTGTTTGGCGAGGACGTCTATGCATTCCGGCCTGAACGCTGGCTGGAAGGCGATAAGACGAACACTGCGTTACCTGAATCTTTTGCAGTAAGTCAAGGCTCGCTATCTGATCACTCTTATGATCATTTTGAGCACTAACCTACTTCATAGTTCGGTCAAGGATCACGCTCATGCATCGGTAAAAATATCAGCATCCTAGAAATGTCCAAAGCCATTCCACAAGTAGTCCAGAACTTCGATATCGACATTTGCCCCAGCGCCCAAGCTTGGTCAACCAACTGCCATTGGTTTGTGAAGCCTGAGTATAAAGCACGACTGAGGCGCCGAGCAACATGAGGAAAGATGAATTGAACATCGGGAAGACATGGCTCTCGGAATAAATACCTTACATTTACTCCTCAAAAGCACAACGCGACCAATACTTTGCTCTACAATCTACATAAATGTAACTTTCCTCCTGTACTATTGAAACTAGTATTCCTCACACTACTGCTTCATGCTTCCAAGATCCTTCAGTGAATTCCAGTCCTACGCCAAGTCTACATGTCTTAAGATTGCCGGCTTTGCACCAACTCTGCAGCCTGACCAAGCTTTCCAATAAGACGCATCAGGTTACCGACCAAGTTGGGGCAATCTTGATAGTCAGTCATATATTTCTCACGTAACAGATCCTGAAAGATAGTCATGATCTCAGGCTGGCGTATGACTTCAATAGTCAAATGCTCCACACCGTTTGTTCCCTCACGACTATGCATAATGCAGGGTTTTCCAAACCCCGACACTAGAAACTGTTGCACCAACGGGGTATGATCGCCGTCTAATAATATCTCTGCCTCCTTAGAAAATGCCTCGGGGCATCTATGCTTCAGCTGTAGATTATAATCTGTAGGGTTGTTTGAGAGTTGTTCTTTAGAAATTATTGAGTATGACCACAAAATCAGGCTGGCGTGATAGATTGCAAGAACCGTGGACACTTTTAAGGTGGGATCACCGTTCCGACGTGCTTCTCGTAAGATCTGACCAGCATGCCACATTGCTTGTCGACAAGATCGACTTTCAGCCCACTCTTCCAGTCGTGGAAGGACGCGGCGTGCTTCGCGTTCCCCATCCTTACCGCCGAGCAATTGCAGATCTTCGAGAAAAACATGAAGATACATGAGCTGCCGCTCGTGGAGAACAACAAGTGAAGGATCCATCGGACCAAGCCACTGTGTGTGCATCGTCGCAAATGATTCTAACGATTCTCGCGCTTCTTGATATAATGCTTGAGTGCTGAATGTATGCTTGTTTTGCGCGGTACCTGGCGTTATGCCACGGGCCTTCAAGCGTTCCTTATACTGCCATGTATTCGACCATAAGCCACACAGGACTACTAGAGCAGTGTATTTAGTGTCCACAGAGTTTCCAAGGGAAGACAGACTGTTGAGGTCTTCTATACAAGTGCTCAATTTTAACTGCGGTGGAGGACCGAGGTTGAGCCAGATTGCCCGCCACGCCTCAGCTGATGGCGCATTCCAAAGCGCTTGCGCCGCTGGTAGGCCAGTGTGCATATCTGCATGTGTCAACGGGGGCGGTGTCGAGAATGCCATCGAGTACTGGGTGCTGAGTATGAGCAAATGCAAAACAAGCCTATAGCGAACGTTAACATCCGTAAGTAGGCAAGGCCAAGCTTATAGCATCCAAAAAAAGATGATTGAGCGGATTTTCCACTTCTTACCTTTTTCTAGATTCATAGTCGACCCATGAACGCCATTTTTCTTCCAAATCAAGGTCGTTGTCGGATGAGTGCGGAGAAATTCCCTCGGGATACGGAAGTCGTAAGAAATCCCCCCTCCTTATCATCTGTATCACTTTGTTATAAACAGCCCACTCTAAGTCTGCGTACAAGCTTACAGTAATTGGCATACCGAACAGACTCTCACTGATCTCTATTCGCCGACTATCTCCACTCCAAAGCCCGGCTTGAATCAAAAACACAAAGGATTGGGAAGGATCAGGCAATCTAACATTGCGGAGATCGCTGCGGAACTGTCGCGAAACAAAGTTGGCTTTTGTTGACAACATGGCTAGATAAATCGTTTTCAGTGGTTACATACCAAACGAATGGTCAGCTCTCGATGAAGCTCGTGTAAAGCAAGAGCAAATTTCAGATATACAAAGTTGTCGGATCGGAAAGCACCGGCAACGATAAGACCAATGACTAATTCCGTGGAGGCAGTGTTCGGATCAAAGCTAGAAACGTGAAGCCATGAATCTGTTTCCTGGCTATGTTCCGTAAGTTCCATGGAGAGCAGATATTCCAGGACTTTAAGAGATGGAAATGATGAGAGAAGGCGGTGGTGGTTTGCAGAGTCTGCAAGAGGCAAAATCAAGCTGAGGATGCGATATCGCGTAGATGGTTGGAGGTGTACAAGAGTATGCTGTTGAGAATCAGTAGACAGGCAAGCAGACATCATTTCGTCTAGAGCGGGAAAGAGATCTGCGATTTTGGTGAACCAATCTTCGCCTTCCTTAGGCGTCCAGAGCAAGAATGATTGCTTGTATGCGCTCTCGCCCATAGAGATATTTCGGTCAGCTTCTGACACGTTGTCAGTCTCTGATATCGTTGCGGATAAAGCCTGGGTTTCCAAGGCGCCAAAATCGAGAATATCTAGATTGATCGTATCCCACGACCATCCAAGCTCGTTTCCAGGAGCGTCCGGCAAGCTCAAACAATCGATTTCGGCGGAAAAGGCGGTACAAGAAGGTTGTTGAAGCTCAATAATATTTGGAGAGAGTGTGCTGTTTTCTTCTCCGATTGTGGAATCTGTGTTGCTGGTCAGTATATCCACCGGTGAATCGAAAATAATACAGTCAAACATCGACTAATGATGGAACCCAGGAAGTGGGAAAAAGAAAAGCAAAATGACCAAGCTAACGGCCAAATTAATGAGATGAGCTGAAGAGGCTAGCTTACCTTTGTCCAAAGATATTGGAGTGATGGTTTGATTTGCTGCCCTGTCTTGTAGTTCTTGGAACATTTTTTCAGAAGCTGCTTGCAATTCGGTAGGGTTTACGGTATCGACTAGACTAGAAGTTGAGTGATTATCGCTTTCCATACTATTTACAGACGGAACAGACGTTGACTGGAGTTCGGGATTGGTTGAGCCTGAAAACACGACTATTTCGGACGGTGGTCTGGTAGGCTTTGATTTGTCGATTGAGCATGATGATTTCCGGCGCGTGCTCTGTTCTAGGCGGGAGTTCTGAGGGAAACGGCACGGCAAACCTCGTTCATTACATCGCCTACACGGTTTATCTCCTTCACAACGTAGTTTAGATTCAGCGCACGAAAAGCAAGCTTTGGTAGCCCGCTGACGGCACCTTCCTGGAACTGTACCACCGGTGGGTGAGCTAGCGAATTTATGGATATTCATGTGTCGTTTGAGAGTATCACTACGTCACCTCATCAGTCAAATGGCGCAACTATTAGAGGCTCTAACATGGGGGTACAAGTCGAAGTGAGAAAAGGCGTAACTCACGGTCTTGAAAACGACTTGGGGCATAGCGGGCAGCTGATTGATCTTGGATCAGTATCTAAGATTCAAAAATAGTGTTAGCGTTTGTGGAGAAGCCAACATCAGAGCGGTTTCGTACGTCTCCGGAAGTGGCGAGCTAGATGATCGATTCGAGAATAGCGGCTCTTGCAGATATCGCAGACAAAGGGGTACGATTTAGCTGTGCTGGGAACTTCTTGTTGCACAGCGCCGGCCGCATTTTCGGTTGGTGCTTGATAGCTTGTGTCGATGGAATTACCAGAGGCTATTAGATTGGTCGAGCCGGTGCTCATAGTGAACGCGATCTTTTCGATATGTTGGGCATAAGATCGATGGTGCCCAGTCGCTCGAATGGTTTTTGATAGCAGGATGTATAAGGAAAAACGCCATGCCGAAGACCTGTTTTTATTAGACACTATGAGAGGATGGGACGGGGAAGGTAACCGCGGGAGGCGTTAACTGCGGGGTACAGAGCATCCTTCGCGTGGGGCTACAGCTTGGCGCTGAATTAAGATTGGACAAAAAGTTCCGTCTAATATCTGGGGCAGGTAGATGGGGTACGTGTGCGTAGCAGCAAGATTGGATCCGACTAATCAGAGCAGGTACTGAGTTCGTACTGTCTCCATAGAATAAATGAAAGCTTCCAAGCTGCAGCCCAAGAGCGCTACGAAGCCCACTCTTTCAGAATGGGGGACAAAGGACCCGTTTTGTGACACGAACTAGTCTATAAGTATTGTGGAAGTTATTGAGCGCTGAACGACCAGGCCAACAACGTGCGGGTCTCGATTGCTCGATACCGTGTGGTTACGCAGGACAAGCCCGTCTGGAGTCTTTCAGTTAGCAGGTACTAGTCATGATCCGGCTGCTATGACGTCTTGCATAGAGTCTGCTGTCAAGTCAAAAGCCACAAGAGGAAGAAAGCTCAGAAGTCCTTGAAATGATGCGCGACGTATGTAACAGAGGCTGGAGGGTCCGAGGGTCCGATGAGTGCCGCACGAGCATCGGCCTGAGGCTGTGCTGCACGTGCCGGCGCCCCCGTCGGGCTATTCACTCGAAAATGCGCTTCGTCTTCCGCGGCTCGTATTCTGATCTGATTTTTGGTTCGTATTCGGACACACCGTCTGATCCGATTTCTGGCCCGATTTCTGGCCCGTCTTTTGGCTCATGCTCATTTTCCGGGTCGCGGTCTGGCTAGTCTAGCTAGTCTGGCCACCCTGGCCACCCTGGCTACCCTGGCCAACATTCCGCCGTCCGGTACGTGAGGGCTGCTTTTTTGTTTCTTGCTTTATACAGAGGGGTGACATGAAAAAAATATGTTACTAAAAGTTCTAGTTTTTAAACAAGTATAACTCGACGAATATAAGAGTTATTCCTAATCGGGCTAGCTCATTTTAAAGCCAAGAAGTCGGAGTTCTACTTAGATAGG